CTCCTTTGGAGTGTATTTAACTTCAGAAATGTGCAAAATAACACAAAAGGCGTAAAATAACAAAAACACACTCAAGATCTAAATTAGACACGCTATGTAACTAGTTGCAAAATTCATATAAAATATAATAAAAACCAGTTAAAATGCATGATAGAAGGTGAAATGTACCAAATATAGAGCTATGAGAATAGAACATTTTTAGTGTTATCATGGAGCATGAAATACTAAGCAATCTAGTCTTTGTGAACTACAACATGAAGCTAGTGCACAAGTACGTGGTGAATAGTGAATACATTTGAGTACCAAATATTTATGCAATGAAATAATGATGTATCTGAATTGTAATTAATCATTCACAAGGCTTGTGCTAGAGAAGAAAAGTTCAAAGCTAATCATGTTGACTATGAATAGATTAAAACCATAGACTTTTGGATTATGGAGGAGATAGAAGATGCCCAAACTCAAGAGCTTAACTTTGGTGAGTTGATGCAAGATGTTGAAGTTGAGAATTATACTAGTGACATTTCTGAAGGAAGTGGAGCTACAAGTATGAAGGTTGGATTAACATATTAATAATTGAAGAACATTCATCTTTTACATATTTTTTAACTTATGATTTATAACATAATTTTGCTTCTTATATATGTTTTTTACTTATTGGATGATGATAAAGATGATGATAGGCAACCTGCTGACATGAAGTCCTCAACTAGTGATTCATCTTATGCTAGTGGTGGTGAATGAGATGGTGTTGAAGTTGTATTTGAAACTTGTTGAGACTTTGAGTGATTTCCATTTCATGTTTATTGTTCCATGTTCGAGACTCTTGTACCATTGCTTTTATTTAGAGGAACTATGTGGGTTATGTGAGGTTTTGATTTTAGAACTTTCGTTATTCATGCTTTAGAATTGTTCAAGAGTAATGCATTCATGGTTTATTGTGCTCAAGAAGCGTGTAGTACTTATAATCTTGTCGTTCATTAGGTACCGGTTCATTCACGATTTTTACAGGTCCAAAATCCGTAAGACCACTAAAGTGTGAATCGTTCACAATACCTGCATGCTCTGGTTCAGTTCTAACAACATTGGTAAAATTGGAAAATCGACAAACATAGTACAAATCGTTCACAATACTTTCAAATCACCCACACTTAATTCTTTGCTTGCCCTCAAGCAAAACACATAAAATCTAAGTCTAATAGAAAAAATTGTTTCACAAACTCAAAAGTGGTTAGGAAAAAAAAAGTGAATCACAAACCCAAAACTTTCAAAATTGTGCAATTCAACCCAATAGACAAAGTTGACCTTGTGATTTGGAGAATTAAGTAAAAAATGACTTTTTCCAATTTCATATCCAATTGATGGTTTATCAACAAACTCATCCTTAACAATCAAATTTTCATACAATGAGCATACTTTATCATAATTTCCAAACCATCATATCATACAAAAGACCTAAATGCTCTTAACTATGTCCATCAAATTATAATATTCATGCTATAAACCCATGATTATGGGAAACAAAACTCACATCTTGTATGGCAGACTAATCGTCGACCTAGACACAATACTAACACTACAAATTCTAACGTTAGGCCAAGTGCAACCAACAATTAGGTGTAATATAGCGAAAGTAAAGTTTAATTATCAACCGGTGCGTCAAATCTACTAGTACTTCGTGGCTAACTTGTTATCTAGCATATCAACGTTTGAATTAAACTAATATGCACAAAGCAAGGCAAAAAGTTTGATTGAAAACTATGGAGAGAAAGTCACTATGTTGTGCTTCGCTTTATCTATAAACCAGTGTTGTTGAAACCGGACCGGGCAGTGATCCAGATTAGCGAGAGGTTTAAGGTTTATCGGATAACCGCTAATTAACCGGTATAAAACCGATCATAAAACTGGTGACACACAATCCTAAAAAATTGTAAGGAAACTAATATTTGTAATTAGTTGCTAAAAAGTGAATAACTTAGTGTAAGTAGAAACGTAATTAATTAGTTCAAACTAAAATTTGAAATTTAAAGTGAAGGATACAATTTGGGGTTTTACTGGTAGTGGTGGCTGATTAAGATATTAATTAATAGGAGGAATTAATTGTACTAATTGAGAAGAAGCCAAAGAGGGAAAGGACGGTAAGAATTTTGAAAATAGAGAGGTGGCAGATTGAGAAAGTAATCAAAAGGGAAATAAACCTTTCTTCTTCCATTATTTCCTTTTAATTTTTCTGACAAAAACAGTGGCGAAAACATTAAAGTTTGACTAAAACCGCCAGTCCGGGTCAGTCGATTTTGCCGGTTAACCGACTGAACCGGTTACCACCCGGCCGACTAATATTATGTGCTTTTTGATGCTATCGAAATTGAAAGTCTGTCCGGGTCCGATTTTTCCCGGTTAACCCGCCCGGTCTTGCCAGTTTTGATAACCATGCTATAAACTAGACCGATGATTGACGTTCCAAGATTGCTTACTTGAGATTTATACAACGGAGAATCCGAATCCCGTTTGAACTCCCTTTCAAATCATCCAAATTCACCTATAGTGGACTATTCAGAGGGAGAGTTTCCACATCCGTCAAAATAGCACAAATAGAGCAATGCCAAACAGATTCCCACTAATGGCTAATGATCCAATACGACATTGTAGTCCGATTTCACACTCAATTCAACGATCCACAATGAAGATTGAGATTTTGCTCTAATAAACCTAATTGGATATTATCTACCTTAGGTTAATATAAATAATTGGAGAGTTTGATCAACATCCAAACCAATTCCATGAAATACCTAAATTCTATATATAATAAAGAGTTCAAACAAGCAAATGAATCATTCAATCATCTAATCTAACAGACGTAGCTAGAGTTCTATGAGACCCAAGTGAATAATGGTTTAGCTCATAGTGAGAGAAAGAGAGGCAAACACAAAAAGAGAAGAAATCATCCTTGGGAATGGGTTCTTTCTCTTGATCTTCAATCTCCAACCCTTGATGATGAGATTACCCTCCAATTATCGATTGAAGCTCCAATTTACCACCTAGGGATCTCCTTCATCACTTTCTCTCTGTACCCAACAGCTGTCCACTCTCTCACTCTAAACTCCTCTAACTCCTATTTTTAGCCAGAGGTGCCAAAGCCATAGTTGAACATCATGATCGTGACATTTATAACCAAATCACGAGATCACCCAAAGTGTGTCGTTTGACCTACACATCTCACGACTCAGTTGCAAATGTCACGGTTGAAGCCGTGGCATCTTTCAAGTGCCCGCGAACGCAAATATGCATCTAAAACTGTGCAAATCTCACGATTTCCCTCTAGATGTCACGACTTGGCCATGACAATCTGCTCTGAACCGTGACATTTAACACTTTATTCACTTTGTCCTGGTTTTGGTTCCAATTCGTCCGACAATCGCTCATTTTGCCATGTTCACATGCATGGACCTGGAATACACTCAAGCAAGCACAACCTAGTATGAAATTACCTTAAGAACGAGGGATCACAAGTCAAACGACCATGAAAAGGGGTTGTAATTGTGTATAATTAAGCTCGAATCAGCGAGCCGAGCTTCCTCAAAACCATCACCAACCCTTTTGTCCATGTCTTGGTTCTCACTCTGTCTCTCTCCTCTTGCTATGCTTCTTCTTTGCTCTACTCTAACTTTAGAATTGCTGATAAAACTCCAATCATTTTTTTTTATGAAGGTGAAAATTTATTAGTATCACAAATACACCAACGGTGTACACAAGAAACAGAAACAGTACAAAGAAAAGGTCAAAGAGCAACCCAGAACAAAAAAGAAACAGGGTCCCTGCTAGTACTCAAGGAAAGAAACAAGAAGAAAAAAAGGTGGAGACATAAGCCCCAACAAGAAATCATCCCAATGAAAAACACACAGGGAAACAAGATTGACCCAAAGGAGATGCCTGGCAGCCACACAGCAAAGCAAGCTTCAGAAAACTCCAATCATTGTGATTGAGCAGCCGCTCAATCTATCTTTTTCCCCCAGTTGATACCTAGATTGTGGGGGGGGGGGGGCACGTATATCGGTAATTCTAATCCAAGAGTCTCCAACCTTCCTTAGTATTTTCCATTCTCATTCAGTAATCATCCCCTGTTTCCTCGGTCATGCTCATGTTCCCTCTTACTCGGTTTGTCCTGTAGGGGGGAGTAAAATGACTCCATCCATTCGCGCGTTAACAATCTCTCTTTTTGTCGACAACTCAAATCTAAAGCATGCTGCCTCCTCTCCGTTCTTCGCTAGAGTCTAACTCCCCTTTCTTTTCCTTCCTTTCCTGAACCCTGCCCGACCCTCAAGCCCGCTTCTCTTTCCTCCTTCTTCCCTAGGCCCCAATGTAAACCAGTGAGTTCCACCCCCTCCTCTCTCTCACTCAAATAAGCTCAAAGCCCTCTTTGGTTTTTTTTTATTCCCTCACTTTCTCGACCCAATTGATTAATCCGGTCTTGGTCTCTTGAGCCTTGTTTGGTTCGATTCGAGTTCCAATACATAAAGATATCACTCAACAAACATTTATTATGGATTTTGATCCTAAACCCGGATTCACTTGCACGAAATTGGAATATTTGAGGAGGGAAGAAGAGGAATTATACTCCAGAGTGGAATACACGCGCTAGTTTGACGGCTGGCTGGTGATCAAAATTTCCTCACAGTAAAAAGTAAAACCCCCAAAATTTTAAGTAAAACAAAAAAAGAAAAGAAATCTACAGAGACAGATAGCAGGTGTCAAAAATTAAAACGGGTAAAACTGCACAGTGATTTTACGTGGCAGCCCTCCACAGGTTTCCCGTTTTATTTTTCCTGTTGTGAGTTGGTTTTTTTTTTTTTTTGGGGAAGGGAGTTTGTAAGTTGAAAGTACTTTCTTCGGTTAGATTGATAGATAGATAGATAGAGATGCAGCAGAATGATAGATCATCGTCCCTCATCTTTCCTCTTCATATATCTGGTAAAAATTTTCCTTGCAGACTGGATTGGCAAAATAAATTAAATATAATAATATTATTTAATTAACAACAAAACAAGAAGAAAATAAAAAAAGGAAGAAGAAGAAAGAAAACGCGGCTGCTGTATTCACCAAAAACCAGAGGGACAAAACAAACACAAGAGGAAGAGAGAGAGAGAGAGAGGTGTGAAGTCTGAATGGTATTCGATTTCCAGCTATAGGGAGAGAGAGAGAGAGATCGATCGCACCAACCCAATTCCTCCCCAAAACCTTGAGCCAGACAGCTCCCACCACCACCATCGCCCGCACCCAAATTCTCGCCGATTTGAATTTCCTTTCCAATTTCTGGTCTGGTCTTTCGATCAATCTTATTCTTCTTCTACTTCCTCCTCCCCGAAATTCCATTCTGTTTTGTAATACCAACAATCTCACCTTTTCCCCACTTGTTTCCCCTTTTCGGCGTTTGTTGATCGCTTCGATCTTCCTTAGTTTTTGTTTTTTTTTTTTGGTTCAGATTTGGTATATACAGTCGTGTTTGGCGGGTGGGGAATAATGGGTCAGATTCAGTTTTGTGGGCAGAGAGCGGCCGCCTCTCTGAGTCTATCACGTGTTTGAGGTTGAATTTATTTCTGGTTCCGTCTCTGTGGGGGGGAAGGGGGATTTCTTCTTTGATGCTATCTCTGGAGAGGAGAGATGCGAGAAAGGAGTTAGGTGTTGGCGGTGGTGGGAGGGAGATGATGATGATGGAGGAAGACACGGAGCTTGAGGAAGGAGAGGCTTGCTCATACCATTCTCCTAACAACGACGATGACGACGATGATTGCGATGCCACCATGGACCCAGATGTTGCCCTCTCTTACCTAGTCGGTTTCTTCTTCTTCTTCTTCTTCTTCTCCTCTTCCAATCTAATTGGGTTTCCTTAATTGTTATTTCATTCATTCAATCCACTATAGTTTTGAATTGCCTTGCCACTGGAGTTAGGGTTGTGGCAGGGTAGGATTCCGGTGTCCTTAGTTGACTTTTTTTAGGAGATACTGTTAGATGCTCCCTTTATGATGATGCTGATGAATTTGAGTGGTGTTGAAGGTTGTTGTTTTCTCTTTTTAAAACTTCCTTGGCTGCTACTCACTCTAAGTAATGCTGTTATGGAATGTACATGAATAATTTGGTGTTCTGGATTTGGGCGCTTGTGCTTAATATAAACAGTGTCTGACTAAGCCTTCTGGAGTTTGTATTAGTTTATTTCCATCTTCACGAACCAAATTGTAAGGGGATAGAGAACTTATGTTTAACATCTTCCATTAGCTCAGAGGATTGATTCCAAGTCACAATTTTGTGTGCTCTATACTGCTCAACAAGTCACAATTTTTATTTTTGTTTTGCTCAACAGGACGAGAAACTACAACACGTCTTGGGGCACTTTCAAAAGGATTTTGAAGGAGGTGTTTCAGCTGAGAATTTGGGTATGTTTAACACGGCTGCCGTGTGATATTATAATCTACTCAGCTGGTGGAGTTGGACTCCGGTTCGGATATCTTACCATCAGAATTTACATATTTATACAGGAGCCAAGTTTGGTGGTTATGGTTCATTTTTATCTAGCCAGCGCTCGCCTGCTTGGTCTCATCCTCGGACTCCCCCAAATGTCCAGCAAACTAGTAATTTGCCTAAATCGCCAAACACTTTACAGTATGGGGTAAGATATGGTGTTTTAAACTTTAGGCACATCGTTTGTTATTGATCGCTCCTGATGCACTCAAGAATTTCTAATGTTGGACGATATTTGCGTCTTAAGAGGTTCCAATGTTTTCTAACAGGCCGGTCGTCGAAGCTCTGATTCATCAGGTGCACCTCAGGCTATAAGGCCTGGTCATACTTCTGCTGGTGCTCTATCACTCCCCTCAACGAAAATGCCATCCTTGACTGTGGCTTCACTCAAACAAGAACGCCGCATGCCATCTGCTCATATGCCTGAGGAAGTGATTGGACGTGAAATCTTAACTAAGAAGCCTGACAGTTTACCTGACCCGAAGATGCTTAAGTTCCGCATCAAAGTAGGCTCTGATAACTTGTCGACACAAACAAATGATGCTCTCTATAGTGGTCTTGGCCTTAATGTCTCTCCATCTTCATCAATGGAGGACAGTCCCTCTGAAAGTGAAGAGATGTCTCATGATCTTCACCATGCTTCATTAGAATCTCCTGCTCACATTATTCGGGTGAATCATCTGCTTGCCCTTTAGTTTTTCATTTTCCAGCTCTACATTTTATTGGATGCTGTTTTAATGGTTGCCATTTTTTAAATATTTCTCTCTTCCTGGCAAAACAGATAATGACTTCTTTCCCAGTGCATGGAGGGCTTCTGTTATCACCTCTTCCTGATTTTCTGATTCACTTGATGGAAAAAGAAAGGCTTCCAAGGGATAGTGGATCCATACCTGTTTCAAATCTTGGTAAAAAAATGCTTGGTCAGGGTAAAATGAAGTTGCTGGAGAGGTGTGAGCTTTCCTCAGAATCAAAAAATGACTACAAAAAGGTTTCTGAAAGTGGTATTGAGATTGCATCAAGCAAGGAGATGGTCCTTGACAGTCTAGCATGTGATCGACTAGTTTCCCATACCTTAAGGCTGCCGCTGCTATCTAGTGCATATTCTACAACAGGCGAAACTATAAAAGGCTCGGGGATGGCATCTAATTTATCAAAGGAAGTATGTAAGGATGGTTTGAAGGACAATGCTGTTATTGATCCGGAAAAGGTGCCATTTATTCCAATGGCTTCTCAAGAGGATGGATGCATTGTAAATTCCATAGCGACTACCTTGTGTGAAGATTTGGAAGATAAGAAGGACGAGTCTCTTGATAGTGCTTCTGAATGCTCCAGGAAAGGTGGCCCCCGCAGAAGAGGAAAATCTTCCAACTCGGTGAAAATCGATGCCAATATTTCTAAAGTTGGTAAAGCTTTGAGAGCTGAGTCAACTGAATCAATAAAGCATAAGACTGACCAGAAATTTTCATCCCAGAAATATGAAGGTGAAAAGTTCATTTCCAGTAAAGAGTGTTTGCCTTCAGAAGGAAAGAAGAAACCAAAGAAAAGCCAGAATCATAGCAATGTAGTCGCAGAAATATCAAAAACAGGCTCTATTGATGGACCTTATTCAGCTTCAAGAATTCCGAAGGATTCTCATGTTAATGATTCAACAGAGGGGGAGTTAGAGGACCTCAAAGTCCAGAAAACTGTGGGAAAATCTGGAGACCGGTATCGTGATTTTTTTGGGGACATGGAACTAGAACATGAGGATAGTCATCCGAGTCCATCGGAAACAAGTCATGTGGATAGGGTGAAGGCTGCTCATGTGGTTCATAAAGAAACCAATGGGATCGGTAAATCATTGGTCGAGAGATTAAATGGAAAGAAAAATGATAAGATGTTAGCATCAGAGGTATATTCCAAGCCAGGTTCAAGTGCTGCTCTGCACCCCCAAAACGTTTCTGCGGATCCTGCTCCTGTAAGTACAGATCCTGTTGTGACAGAAGATGATCATTGGGTTTGTTGTGACAAGTGTCAGACGTGGCGACTTCTTCCATTTGGAAAGAATCCTGATGACCTGCCGGAGAAATGGCTATGCGAAATGCTCGACTGGCTGTAAGTTACAATGCCTTGATGAATTTCTGGTTTTGTTAGGTCATAATCAAATGAAAAAGCGATTGCCAGAGTATAAGTAGTGGCAAGACATGTATTGATTTGCTATTCATTGGCTCAGTCAAATGGATGATGTTTTACTATTAACGTCGCAGGCCTGGCATGAATAGATGTGGTTTTACCGAGGAGGAAACTACTGAGGCTCTCATTGCATCGTACCGAGCTGCTGCTCCCAATGGTAAAAGTGGTCCAGCTGGCGATCATGGTGGGCATATGACCAAGGGAACCTTGCGCGGTGTTCGAACCCATGATGCGATTGCTGCTAGTCGGCAAAAGAAGCATGCCTTGAGAGAGTCATCAAATAAAGAAGGCCTGATACAGCTACCAAATTCTGCAAAGAGAGCAGTGGCAACTTCTGTGCCAAATGGAAGCGTAAGCGAGACGAGTCGGTCTCTAAAAATCAGCGAAGCTGAATTGATGAAGTCAAGCAGATCTAGTGATGCAGCCATGGGAAACAATAAACCAAAGCTGAAAGGGAAGCACAAAGTGCTTGACAACTTTTCTGATGGAGGTATGTGCTTTTTTGACAATTTTCATTCATTCCAAGTACTAGTAACATTTTCCATATTCCGCTTTATTTGAATAAAATCTGACAGGTGAAACTCGTCAACCAAAGATGAGAAGCAAAAGGGTATCTGATGAAGATTTAGTTCGAGCATCCAAGAAGTTAAAGGCTGAAGATTTGCCAGAAGATCCAATGTCTGATTATGTTTCTGAAAAGAATGGTCCTGACATTCGCTCTGGTAAACTGCGGTCTAAAGAGTCTGATCATACTTCTTCTAAGGACTCAAAGAACGAGCAAAAGGATGAGAAAAAAGTCTATGCTAAGAAGCCGAAAGATGAAGTTCAGATTGCACTGGATGTTCGCTCCATGGATAGGAAGAAGCATAAGGATGGTGAAGTGGTGAAAAAAAGGAAAGCAAATGAAGACTTTGATGCAAATGTGCGATCGTCGTCCCCTTTCTTTACAGAGTCCCTACTCCATGATGGTGGAATTATGGCAAAGGAAGATTTCAGCGATAGTGACTTCAGAAAGGAGAAGAAGGCACTGTTGTCCAGGTCTATTGGAAAGGAGGTTAGTAATGGTAAAGGTGATGGTAGAACAGAGAAGAAGGGCAGTCATGGAAGAAAACAGCAATCAAGGCAAGATTTGGGAAGCACATTGTCACAAAGGAGTTTGGATGGTGTTGAATGTTCGAAAAAAGATTCAGGGAATCGACATCCGCCAGTGGCTGCTACCTCTAGCTCTTCTAAGGTTTCTGGTTCCCACAGAACGAAAGGCAACATCCTGGATACAAAAGGCTCACCAGTAGAATCAGTTTCATCATTACCTATAGGAACACCGAAACCAGATAAACTTGTAGCAGCAGCAAGAAACACAGAGAGACATATCAACAGAAAGTGCTCTGATGGAGAAGATGAAGGGTTTGGTGACCAATTTGGAAAGAGGAAGAAAGATAAAAATATTGATTTGGGCCGTCATGGGTCTCTTGAGCCTTGCATTGATTTTAAAGAGAAGGACTATGGTCAGTGTTTATCATTTGGAAAAGTTAAACAACAAAGTGTGCCTACTGTTGATTCTACAAATCAACAGATCGCAAGTGCCACTGCAAATTCCTCTGACAAAGATACTCAGCATCATAGTAGGTCAGAAAGCAAGGACAAACACCACAATGAGGAGAGGCCAAACGGAAATCATTCTCAATCAAATGGGTCTCGCTCAAGGAAGTCCACAAAGGGATCATCATCTTCAAGGTCCAAGGACCGAAGTTTTGATACTTCACTTGACAATGGAAAACCTCGAGCTTCTGATTCTACTACAGCGCATGCAGCGTCTTTTGGAGTAAAATCTGGGGATAGAAAAAACAAGGCAGATGAGAAAATTGGTGTCATGTCTGACAGAAAAGAGAGCAGATACCTAGATAAGAGCTCAGGAGGACTATTGCTTGCAGGGAATGGCAAAACAGATGCTCGACCAAACTTAGGTGGTCACAATTGTCCAGGTGATGATGGACTTGCTAGTAATACTGATGATGCAAAACCGAGTTTACCACTGGAAGGCCAGATGAGCTCAGCTAAAGAGAAGGAAATATCAGCAAATCCATGTGGGATAATTCAAGAAGAGAAATCACTCTCCGTTAAAGGAAATGTAGGGAAGGGTTTGTCTGTTAGTGCCTCCGGCGGTGACAAGCCACAGAAGCAGATCAGGAAGGTTGACCATCCCCCGAACGGGATAAATCACAGCTCAGGGAACAAAATATCAAATGGGCACAGGATCAGGGATCATGATGCCCCTAGTCCAGTTAAAAGGGATTCCTCCAGTCAGGCTGCTAACAATGCTTTGAAAGAGGCTAAAAATCTAAAGCACCTGGCAGACCGTCTGAAGGTTATTATTTGCTTGATTTGCAGGAAAATTTGATATCTCATTTTGTCCAACATCATACTGACTGATGCCATCTCTGTGCAGAACTCTGGGTCAGTTCAGGAAAGTACAAGGCTTTACTTCGAGGCAAGCCTGAAGTTTCTTAATGGAGCCTCGCTCTTGGAATCGGGAAGCAATGAAAATGCGAAAGATATGATCCAGTCAATGCAAATCTATACTAGCACTGCCAAACTCTGCGAGTAAGTCTAGACTATAAATCTTGTTGAACTTGCTTCATTTGGCACAGGGTTTAGTTGATCTTCTGATATTTACATTCCGTGCTACTTTTGGTTGGTAGCTGTCTCTGTTTTCGCTTCCTCAGCTACTAGAATGAACCAATTAATTCTTATTTCGAAGCTTTAATTTCTTGGTACTCCTATAAATGTGGAAATGCATACTTCTACTCATGTTGGAAACTGTTCCTTTCTTATTGGTTCTGATGGGTCTGTTTAGTTCTTTTTCTAGAAATTTAGTAAACGGAAATATTATTTGTCAAGTCCTTAGAGGTGAAATATGAGATGCTTTTAGTTAAAAGAGATTAATTGATGAATTAGTAGATGATTCCTTTAACAATAAAGCAATATTTTTTTTTCCAAAATGACTATTAGGGCTTTATTTCTTATTACAGATCTTTATTTTAAAGGCGCGAAGTTGGGGATCAATTTGTGTATGTCGTTTTTAGCTTTTATTAATGTCCTGGCTTCACCAATCACCGCGGGTTCTTGTTGTGGAAATTTAGTTTGATAAGTGTGGTTGTGAACTTTTTTCCCACCTTAAAGTTGGGAACTAACAAAATATATGTAGAAACATACTCCGCTTTCATGTAGACCCTTTCATCTACTTTTGTGTTGTGTTAGGTTTTGTGCCCATGAATATGAGAAGTCTAGAGACATGGCTGCTGCTGCTCTTGCCTACAAATGCATGGAGGTGGCGTACCTCAGGGTAATTCATTGTTCACATTCCAGTGCCAACAGAGATAGACATGAGTTACAGATGGCTTTACAGATGATTCCTACAGGTACAAGCAAAGCTTGATCTCCTAATAGTACTCTGCAGCTCTTTTTCCACTTGGCAATATGATTGCTATTTACACTTGTTTCCTGTCATTCAGTTGTTGATACATGGAACATACTGTTCCCCTTTCTTCTCTTGTAGTATCCATTGTGGTATACGTTCTGTTTTCGGCTGTGCCTTATGCGATGCTCTTTCTCAGAACCTATCCTCTAGGATCTTCATTGGATAGCATATTTAATTGTTATTAGTTAACCACTGGATATGCTTCTCTGTTCAGTTATGTGAATATGAAACTTTTTTTGTTTTTTCCCTAGAAATATGAATATGAAGTTCGCAATGGTTGACCAATATTTCATCACCTGTTGCTTTATTGTATAGTCATTTACATGTCACTTTGACTTATACTTTTGAGCATTGAACTTTCAGGCGAGTCGCCTTCCTCTTCTGCATCTGATATTGATAACTTGAATCACCCAACAGCAGTGGATAAAGTTACCTTAGGAAAAGGTATCAGCTCACCTCAAGTTACGGGAGGTCACATCATTGCTGCCCGAAATCGTACCAATGTTACCCGGCTGCTCACTTTTGTAAGCACACGTTTTTCCTTGTAATTGATCACAGCGTGTGGTACCTAAAAATAAAGAGACGTATTTGGTTTATGGGTAGATATATCAGTAGCTTCCACTACTGTCTAGGATCTAAAATCATAAAAATTTCCCTCGTCTCTGCTCTTTGAAAAACTTGAATTTTCCTGTAACGGATCCTTCTTTGATGTACTGGATTATGTATGATATCCAGGGGATTTCTGAGCCCTGTTTGGTTATGAATGAAGGTTAGGATGCCCCGCATCCTTTTATAAAAATAAAAACAAAAAACAAACTTGAATTCATGGATTAATCTATGCTTACCATTTCAAAGGAGATTGATCATAACAGCTGCCTGTGCTTTGTGTGTGTTCAGTGTACACGTAGACTCTACCATTGTGCTGTAGCCTTTGGCATTATTGATTCCTGGCTCTCTTTCAGGCACAGAATGTTAACTTTGCTATGGAAGCATCACGAAAATCACGGACGGCTTTTGCAGCAGCTAGCATAAGCTTGGGAGACTCCCAAAGCAGGGAAGGTATTACTTCCATCAAAACAGCTCTTGATTTCAGCTTCCATGATGTAGAAGGATTACTACGTCTAATACGGCTTGCAGTTGAAGCTATTAGCCGATAATTAATGGATGCTTGTTCCTGGAGATGAAATCAATTGTGAATGATGAAGCTTTGTTCAGCTGGTGTTCTTTTGCAACCAAGTCTCTTACAACGTTAAAGAGCCCGGGATTACCGTGTTGCAATTTTTGATCCTTCTATCTTGAGACCGCCATTTCCTGCTGGCTCATGTATATAATACGCAATATTGGATTTGACGTACTCTACACTGAACAAGGATGGTCAGGATGGTGTTGAACTTCACAGCCAACATGATTTTGAAGACTGTACATCTAGGCTGTTTTATGATCCAACGTGATTTCAGCCCAGAAGAAATGGCAACTAATGATATAGAACCGAGAAAATCCCTACGGGGTTGTAGATCCTTGATGAACAGAGAGTATCCCATTACCTTAGCAATTGTTTTAGCCAGGAGAGGTTCCAGGTCTGCTGCTTGCTGTTCTCGTGCCTGCGCAACATTTGATGGTTGGAAGGTTCTGGTGTGTGCTGTTCAATTGTAATCCAGCTTAGACCTATGACCAATGCTGGTGATTTCATTGGTGAGAGCACCATGTAGCGAGGATTGATAATCTGAATGGCATCCCAGGTTTGCTTTATTTCTTACTTCTGCTTTATTTCCTTAGTGGAATTATATGAATATTTTGATTGTTCCATCAATTTCTTGGTTTGACTTTTACTATTCTGGAATTGCAGATGATTTGACCCCTACGACAGTTGCAGCTGTAACATTTTTCCCTGTTCTTTTTGTTAATAAAGACAAGTAGAAGGAGGTATTTTTTTTAGAGGAAAATAATAACGCGGCAGGACGAGCTGGAGAGTTGCTGCTTGATAAAAAAAAAGGTTTGTCAAACATTGCACCTGAAATACAGAACCTTGTAGATTATATTTGAATGAGTTGCATATGAATTGTGTCTGCCATACCCTTTCTGCAGTCAACAGAGCAATGTAAAATATCCAATGGAGTTACCCTTGCTCTGATACTAATTCATTGTTTTTCTTCCATGAGCAGGGAGAGAGGATCCGCCCTAATACTTCCCACAGTTGCAAAAGACCCAAACAGGTAAAAGTTAGTTTGGTTGGTCTCGGTTCTGATTTCCCGATCTCGGTGTATACTCACCGAGTTTGTTTGTTTTGGTTTTTGCTCCTACAGATGATTGCACACAGCTTTGAGAAGTTCCTTCCTTTTCTGCTTCACAAAACAAGTTGGGGGACACACTTGATTGGTCACCATTTATGGGAATGCTTGCATGATGTCTGAGGTACGATACCCGGAATTCTAGTACGATATTTTGGTTATACAGAGTAGGGTTTTTTTTTTTTTAATTTGTGAATTTCTTTCAGGCCAACTAATCTAGAATCTGGGTTTTGGGCAGGCATTGGTGTCTTGAGGCTGTATTATGAAAACTGTCTTGGTGATGGAGGATCTCTCTACCCTGCTCTCCCTGTATTAAGAGGATGTATGTGGTCTGAAGGTTTGTTCCATATGACCAATTGCTGTAAATAAGCCGGTGCCGCAAGTAACCGGATGTAATTCTGACAACTGTAGGGTTCTGTGTACAGTAGTTGAATTTAGAATCAGGTATAGAACACATTTATCAGACATAGAACATTTTTGGAAATAATCAGAACAACAACAATAGGAATAAGGAGTGTGCTTTTTCGGCTGGATATATAGTTGAGCTCAATAACAATGAAGTTACGAGATGACAGATGAGATCGGGTCTATGATGTCCGGAACCGGAATGAGAAAAGAACATGAATGTTTATGAGATAAAAATAGATGATAGATTGTAATACCCTTATTTAATGCAAATTACGCTCATAGGATCGTATCTTCCCTTGCATGTCATTGAAAAGAGAGCATTTCATTTCGCCGTTTCTCGCTCCTTGCACCATGTAGCTAATGAAGTGCAGCCTGCCTGTGCACGTCTCCCTCGATGAAAGCGCATGCTCACTGATTCGGCACTGAAGTTACCCTGGCGTACTATTTCGCACCATGAATGACAATGCTGATGAGATCCTTGCCGAGGATCTATTGCGATATACACTTCTTACAGCAGATCATTCGCTTTGTTCCTCGGTTGAAAAGAAATGTCTCGACTCTCGAGCACCGAAGTTTCGAGTAGGGCCACGCTTCTTCTAAAATAACGGCGTGTTAAACTTTGCTTCCATCTCCATGGATGTTTTAACATCTCTATTAACCAATGCGCTCAAGTTTGTTCGACATTGATGGAGTCTATGAGGCTACATTGCGTACCACTCTAGGCACACTCCTGAACCTATATTTGCTAACAAGTTCAATTATATATCATCACTCGCTATATAAGGACGGAGCCAAAACTACTGAAACTACGAAACATAGCTAACCAAGAATGATAACAGAAGTAGCAAACTTGATCTTCCTCTAAATGGCATCCACCTAGTGGATGATCCTGGAAATGGGAGAAATGAATCAAGGAGAGGAAGGAACAGGAGGAAGTGTGGGAATCTTAGTTTGATGGTCCCTGAAGCTTTTCGCGCAGCAACTCGTACTTCTTAAGCTCAGCAATAGAGAGGGAGGGAGATAGCTCCACCAGAACCTGCATAATTCCCAAAAGAGGGGGGAAATATCAAGTTACCAACGTACCCACACAATTTCTTTAAAAATAAAGATTAGAAGGGTTTTTATTGCAGCGGTAATCAGAGTATAGCAATCGACCAATGCTCAGCACCATACCGTCATGAAGTCTTCATATTCGACAACAACAGAGTTCACTTCATCGACTGCTGCAGAAGTTTCAGAATCCATGTCCAAGAGCTACACAGAGCAAAGATAGGTTCAGAACCCAACCAAAGCAAAATCTCGCCATGTATAGCTAGGCAGGGGCCATTTATGAGACAGAAAACAGCTGAACAGAAACAGGAATTGGCTCCTGTCGGAGACAGCAGGGGGAGTGTTCGGTTGTCTAAAACATAAGTAACTTCACCAAAACCCTCACGAATTATCAAAAGCAATACCACTTGCTAATAAAATTTATTTACCAACTTTGTCCATTTAAAATTAGAATATATTATCTAAGTTATATGTATCATGATCATTTCCAAAAAAAAAAAAAAAAAATTCATCAGTTACTGTCCGATCAGTTGCTTATTTTTATGGATATGAAATATGCCCCATTCCATCAGTTGGATCTTTTCCTAAAACCCAATGAAACAATTTATAAGCTTCACTTCTACTAAAGAACCTAAAAGCTAAAACAAACAAACTCAGCATCTACTTCATATGCAGGAGGACAGATCACAAAACATGGGCAACGGCCTCTTTTAATTGATGGGTCACAAACCTTTCGCTTTGCTGCATGGAACCAAGCATCTGCACACAAGGCATACATATCCGCACCAGTAAAATTCGGGGGGCATTTCTTTGCTATTGAATAAAGTGAGACATCTTCATGCAAAGTGAACTTCCGGGTGAGCGCCTTTAGAACCCTAGTGAAGGAGAGAGACTTCTTGAGAAATTTTTTATGGTGCATGTAATAACAAGGTAAAAAAAAAAAAACATTAAAAGAGAACAATATACTAACCCCTCCCTGTAAGATGCATCCGAATTGACTCCTATATATAGCAACTTGTCAAACCGGCCAGGTCGAAGAAGGGCTGGATCAATGAGATCGGGTCTATTGCTTGCTCCAATGATGAACAGGTCCTGAAAGGACAAAGACAAACAAGCATGAGTAGCAAGAGGATCACAATGAGCACTAACATGAACTCTTAAATTGTAAATAATATATTACCTGTGTAGAATCACTTAGGCCATCAATCTCTGCAAGCATCTGGTGAGAAATAAAATGTTTTATAGAAATCACGATGAAGTAAAATCCCAAAAAGAAAAAGGAAGAGAATCTTCCAACATCAACTAGTAATTGTCTTTACCTGAGAAACTACTCTATCCATCACACCTCCAGAATCTCCAGAGGCACCTCGAGCGGGAGCAAGAGAATCAAGTTCATCAAAGAAAATAACACAAGGACGTGCTGATCTGGCCTGCATCCGGATGTGTCTCATTATTAGCAGCTTGGTTGCCGAGTACAAACGAACTGTGGAAGGAAAGCAAAGTCCCTCCAAGAAAATCTTCTTAATGGATAACCCGAAGACCATAAAAAATAATTATTGTCTTGCCTTCTGAAAGATGTCTCTGACATTTTTCTCTGATTCTCCTATATACATGTTGATCAACTCAGGCCCTTTCACGCTAAGAAAGTTCAAGGAGCACTCTGTTGCAACAGCTTTTGCTAACAAGGTCTGAGATTCAAGAGAGCAAAAAGTTAGGTAATCATACTTTTTCCTTGAAATAATAAGCATTGTCATCTGTTGCTTCTCACTTTCCCTGTTCCTGGAGGGCCATACAGAAGGACGCCAGAGCGCTTTCGCAACCCAGAGGAAAATAAATCCTTGTGCAGGAGCGGTAACTGCAACAACAATAACCTTGCATAAGTTACTTTGATTAACAGGGTCCGGAAAGAGTCCATCACTGCTATCTTCGGGGGGGCCACAGAACGTCACAAACTGGAACCCATGATTAACTTCCCCTGAAACTTACCACCTAGTTTTTCCTGAGATGACTTTTATACTTCCAAGACGAGGTAGGTCCTATTCAGTTCCACTGAATCTAAGAATAAAACCTCTTAAGAGATTCTTTTTATGTCGGAAATTGTGCATGGAACAAAAAACAAGTAAATTCCAGCGGCTTGATAACCAAAGCATGATTTTGCAAGAAAGGAAGTCGAAATTTCCTGTGTAGGGTATTTACTAATGTTCAACAGAATAAATGTATCACATTCACCGGAAAAATAAACAACAAATGTATCACCAGCCAAGGAGACAGCCGCCACTGTCTGATTGCAATACCAGTAAATGAGACAGAGCTACTGTCTTAAATCAAGATATGCCAGGATTTCTCACCTGAACAGTATCCAGAATTGATTTCTTCACATCCTCAAGACCCCCAACATCTTCCCAGTTTATGTTGGGAACCTGCAGCAATGAAAAGTCTCACAGTATTAGACATCATTCAGTAGATAGCAAGCATAAACCGTTAGCTTTGATAAAAATTGGAGGTGACATCAATGTTTAGGATCACAACTGGTGAGCCAGCCTACCTTCGGGGTACCCAGTGCTGATGCATTTCTCTTCTTAGAACGGTTCAATGCTTTGTCCAGACATTCCTTATCCAGAACCCGAGTTATGGCTCTGTCTGAGTTATTACCGTGCAATTCTTCAACAGTAGAAGAGGTATCAGAGTCCTCGGTCTCAACCTTGTCCACGGGAACATCTTCTTTACATATCAGGTTTGCACCAGCATCAGCTACTAAGGCATTCAGATCCCTTGGCATGAAACCAGATGTCTGCCCAACTACATCCTTTACAGTACCATCGAGCCCACTCTACAAGAAACGGCAATCCAATCTAGTCAACAATTATGGCTAACATTTTGAAAGCTAGAAAGTATATTTACTTGCAAGATACTGACATGAAAGGACCCATACAAAATTAGGGTTGATAACCAATATTTTGAAAACCAAAGCAATATAACCAGATTTACAAGCAAGAATCAAGATATTGACATGAAAGAACCGACATGAAATTATCAATATTGTTCTAAAAGGATTAGGTTCCAGTTGGAGTATTACCCACTGGTAGATTCTGTATGATCAACTTAAAGTCGTCTTTATAGTTACAGGGTCTATGATATCATTTACCAAATCCTTCTCAACAAGCACCCTAATTGTCACTCAACAAGTATGCAGAACAAAAAATAGATTATCGAGAAACCAAGGACCTTGCTGTGTAGAAAGGTCTTAGATTCTAATTTAGAGTTGCTGAACCATATAAATGACAAGACATCAATTTTCCAGAAATCCATCATCAAACAGATATACTCAAGCAAAATAGTTGAGCAAACAAAGAGATAAAAAAGAACAAACACATAAAATGTCTGGCATACATTCGAAAGGTGCTCTGAATCACTTTGTAGTAACTGGGAGAACATTTCTGTTCTCTGTTCTTCAGATAAAGGACCCATGCTTATCTCATGGCTGAAGCAACGTCGAATAATTGGTGGTAGACCTTCAGAACTTTCTGAAGCGGCAACTAACAGCACCTGATGCTGCTTCATTTTGTACTCGAGGGGCTGCATCGTGCAAGCATGCAGATAAATATCTATTAGAGTCCCTAAAGCAGTTTAAAGTTACTTTCATATCTTTCAGACAACTGATAGAAAGAGGGCCCCTGGATTTAGTCCAATCCTGGAAACTATAGCAGCTTAGAAACTAAATCTCACTACAATTTGTCAATGATGCATGAAAGAGTTTCTGCAAAGATCTGTCAACAGTAGAAAATACACATAGTGTCAAACTTTTTCTTGCAATTATTATGTTATTAATGATATCTACACCCCGCTTCTACTAAAAAAATGAGCTAACTTATTCATCAACAATTCAGAAGAAAACTGCTCACAAAGCTGTCTCTTACAAGATTTTGATTTGATCTATCTTCATAGTTCTCAGTTTGAGCACCTGGTTCAGTGAATTCCCTTATAACTGATGCAACCTCAGAGGTGAGACCAATATGGTCATTTGGTGAACCGTCATGAGAGATATCCCGGAATACGTCGAAGTGACGAAGTACAAGTATTGCAGGAGAGTATCTGTTTGAAAAGAATGTTAGCACTACAACAATGTGACGCGAAATATCCAAGGACATAATAAAAGGAGTTCCGAAAAGCAACAAATTATGTAATATTTGAGCCACCACACTCAGACCCATTTTATTGAACCAAAAGTCACCCAAAAAGGATCAGCAAACACAGAAAAGATCATTCCATGAAGACCTACAATTACTGTTAGTCATACCACAAGCCAACAGCTTCACCTTTGGGCTGTCTTGAATGCTTGAGCTAGTTCAGCAGACATCTTCCTATCAGCGGATGCTGTTAGATTATGACAGCTGAATTCCACCACATGAAGACCCAAACGACAAGCAACAAATTTAACAACCGTCCTTTTTCCGCAACCTGCAAAAGTATGCTATTCGTCTTGTTATGCCCTGCATGTGGTTTTCTATAACATTGTTGTTTTATCCGGAA